CACTCAAGGTTTTAGTGGTGCTGATATTACTGAGATTTGCCGGCGAGCATGCAGGTATGCCGTTATAGAGAACATAAAGAAGGTAAGCATATGCTTTTATTGTTTGCTTAAGCTTATCACAATATCACTGCCATTTTAAAATGGAAATTGTAGTCTCTCTGCTTGCTCAACCGCAAATAGTGAATAAGTACAATATATTTGCAACAAGTTAATTACTTCTGTGTTGTTCTTTTGAGATGTAGCAGAAGTAACTTTAAGCATTTATGGAATTACTGCAGGGCGGAGAGAAGGAGAGAAGGAGAAGGGAGAATCCTGAAGCTATGGATGGGGATGTGGAGGACGAAGTTGCAGAAATTAAGGCTGCTCATTTTGAGGAGTCAATGAAGTATGCTCGTAGAAGCGTACGCGATGCTGACATTTGTAAATACGACCAGGCATTTGCACAGACCTTGCAGCTGTCTAAGGGTGTAGACAAAACATCTGAGGCTGATGCTGATGAAACACCTGAGACTGATCCTGATGAAACACCTGAGACTGATCCTGATGAAACTAAAGTTGGTTATGATGATGTGGGTGGTGTTAGGAAGCAGATGGCTCAGATCCGTGAGTTAGTTGAGTTGCCACTAAGCCATCCTCAGCTTTTCAAATCAATTGGTGTTAAACCACCCAAAGGAATTTTACTTTATGGACCCCCTGGTTCTGGAAAGACATTAATTGCCAGAGCTGTTGCCAATGAAACTGGTGCATTCTTCTTGTGTATTAATGGCCCTGAAATTATGTCCAAATGCTATGGAGGAAGTGAAGAGAACCTCAGGAATGCTTTTAAAAGAGCTGAGATAAAGGTTCCATCCATCATCTTTATTGATGAGATCGATTCAATTGCTCCAAAGAGGGAGAAGACCTGTGGTGTAGTTGATAGGAGGATCGTTTCACAGCTTCTGACTTTAATGGATGGACTGAAATCTCGGTCCCGTGTTATTGTTATTGGGGCTACTAATCGTCCGAATAGCATAGATCCTGCTTTGAGGAGGTTTGGCAGGTTTGATAGCGAGATTGATATTGGTGTTCCAGATGAAGTGGGTCGCCTTGAGGTTCTTCGCATCCACACAAAGAACAAGAAGCTTTCTGATAATGTGAGTTCAATTCCTATGCTCTCTACTTCAGATTATTTGATTGTAAATGAAATTCTCCATTTCACGTTATCTCTTTTCTTGCTGGTTAAATTGGAGTTTTTTTTTTTTTATGTTTGTGTGTGTGTGTTCTCTAGGTTGATCTAGAAAGGATTGCAAAGGACACTCATGGTTATGTTGGTGCTGACCTTGCTGCTCTATGCGCTGAAGCTGCACTGCAGTGCATCAGAGAAAAGATGAATCATATTGACTTGGGAGATAAATCCATAGATGCAGAGATCCTTAACTCAATGGCAGTTACAAATGAGCACTTTCAAACTGCTCTTGGAACAAGCAACCCCTCTGCTCTACGTGAAACAGTGAGTTACTCGATTTCCTTTGGGCTTCCATCACTATTTGGAACATGCCTTGAATTCGACTCCTCTATCATATTCAAATTGTTTACCTTTTGGTTTCCAGATGGTTGAAGTGCCCAATGTTACCTGGGAGGACATTGGAGGACTTGAGAATGTTAAGAGGGAACTCCAAGAGGTGATTGTTATTGTTGCATAGATTTTTAAACTTTCTTCTTGTATTAGCTTCCTGCTTTTTTGCTAACATTCATTTTGTGTGTGCGTTTCATTGGGTTTGTAGACTGTCCAATATCCAGTGGAGCACCCTGAGAAGTTTGAGAAATTTGGCATGTCACCTTCAAAGGGAGTACTTTTCTATGGCCCTTCTGGATGTGGGAAAACTCTTCTGGCTAAGGCTATTGCAAATGAGTGCCAAGCAAACTTTATCAGTGTTAAAGGGCCTGAACTGCTCACCAAGTGGTTTGGTGAGAGTGAAGCCAATGTTAGAGAAATATTTGACAAGGCCCGGCAGTCTGCACCTTGCGTGCTTTTCTTTGATGAGCTCGATTCTATTGCTATTCAGGTTGCACTTCTGTTCCTTAGTGTTTTATTCTCTCAATAGTTGCTTTAAAAAATAGTATTGTAATATTTTACTGTAATTGTTGCAGAGGGGAAG